TCAAAATCCGATTTTTTTTCTAAAAAAATAATCAAGTATCTATAATCAGATAAATTCTAAAATTTATAATTAAAAAAAATAAGAATGTTCCAAGCAAGTGTTTCACCCAAGGGATCATAATACAGGCGCACCTCACGTATAATATTTATTTAAAAGTGTAAAATAATAGGATGTCGGTTTTAAAAGGGGCTGTTTAACACCATCTTTCACATCATTTAAGATGTCGACTTTTGAAGCTAGCAATTTAACACCCTCCTTGCTCCTCACATAAAATCCTTTTACAATAATATTTTTTTTAAAAGTGTAAAAGAGTAGAATGTGAGTTTTAAAAGGGTCTGACACCAAGTTAACACCATCTTTCACATCACATGTGGACGTTTGAAGCTTGCAATTAAACATCCTTCTTACACTTCATGTAAAATCCTTTTACAATAATATTTATTTAAAAGTGTATAAGTGTAGGATGTGGGTTTTAAAAGGGGCTGGGGCTCTTTCTCTCATTCTCTCTCATAAATATTGATATCTCTATCTCTCTTTCGGTTAAAAGCTCATGACATTCCAATCAATTAAAACAAGGATTAAGCTCTTCTTTTGGCCAGTACAGTGGGCCTTTCTTCTTTCTAATCGAAATACAATGATCACTTACTGAGTAGCCAAACTCATCAAACTTTGGTAAAAAAATTTTCAGGGTAATTATAGTCTCATAGTTGAATGCACCGCAGTACCAGCTTTGTGAAAAAATTGTAGTCACAACTAAATTATCTTTTGTAACTTTTGCTTAAATTCACCATTGTAAATTTTGTTCTATCAACGGATGTATATCTAAACCTTTATGTTAATATTAGTTATGAGTAGACTTTGTACAGACTCTTAAAAATAGAAAATTGTTTTAGCGGAATAAGTGGTGAAGTTTAAAAATTTGTTTGGTTAAGAATCGACTGTTACGTCTCAAGGATTCTAGTATTTTAAAACTTGTGGTGGGACAGTTGATCTAGTTTTAAAAGTGTATTTTAAAAAAAAAGAAATTTAAATTTTGAGTTCTTAGTAAAAAATTTGTTGTGAATGATCATACACCCAAAAAATTGTGGTGAATGATCATACACCCTTGAACATGTAAGATCGTTTTCTATGTTATCTTGTT